CTCATTAACTATACTATACCACCTAAAAGGGTTCTCTTTGATTGGACATCTGGAAAGAAGAAGGGAAAAGCAGAAGAAGGAGTATCAACATGCTGGGACAGCATGTCTAGAAGGGGGGGTGATGTCAGGGCACCAGCTCATTGCTTGGTCAAGAGACATGACTAAGCCTTTATGACATGGAAGTAGCTGGTATACCTTGGCATGTGCTGGAACCTGCTGGAAGGATTGGATGGTCAGGTGACCTGCTGTGCATGGCTGTGCATGACCTCATATGACCTCATCCTTGGTCATATGACCTGATCACCTGACTAGGCTGAGTAAGCAAGATGTTCTAGCAGGTTCCACCACAGAGGTATAAATATAAGGCCTACTCTGCCTGGGACTGTCTCTTCAGACTTGGTCTCTTAGGATCATCCACAGGTACCTATACTGTAGATAGGTCTTAGTCATCAGGTCTACTCCACTTCCTTGTTGCCTGCTTAGACTCTTGGCACTCTTAGGTGAGCAGACTTAGTCAGCCTGTGTTGCCCTAACAGGCGTTTACTGCCAGTGATCACTATGCCCATAGGGGCAAACTGTGGTGGCAAGGTGTACACCATCTCATCCTTTCGAGTGGATGATTTGCCAGACAAGCTGGCAACCACTGCACTGTATGTCTTGCCAATGGCAGAGATGTGGCAGTCACAAGAGACTGCATCTTCTGTGGGCACATGGATGGGAGCTTGTCCATGGCGGGATGTTTACTGAGGGCAATGGGAGGAACCCTTGCAATGGTGGAGACCTTTGCAACAGCAGAGGTCATCAGGGTGGCTGCTGGAGCCTCTTCAATGGGGCCAACATCCATTGGGACATCATATAACTTGTCTGCCTTGTGAGAGGCAGAAGGGGGAGCCACCTTGCAAGCAGCAGAAGGGAGAGGAGCACAGGGAGGGGGAGGGGTGCTGTTGAAAGCAGACAGCTTGCCCTTTAGCTTATCATTCTCATCAAGAGAACAAGTGAGGTTGTTGTTGCTCATCTTGAGAGAGTCCTCCAGACAAGCAATGAGTGATTCAAAGTCATGCTTGAGATTATGAATCTCATCTGTGTGTTCCTCATGCTCACCCCAAAGGTGATCAAGCTCCTGCTCTGCATCTTGTAACTTGACGCGATTATATACCAGCTTGTCAGCAAGCTGTTCTCAGCCATGAATGGCCAATTCCATGTTCTGCATTGGATGGAGTGCTGTTAGGGCAACACAGGCTGACTGAGTCTG